GAAAGATTTGGAGTTAGGACACTTCTGTTTCCTCATGAAGAATTTGGCGCACTCCCATGGCGTTCTCTGATAAGGAAGATCTAAAATACAGTTCATGCGAACATCTAGAATCTTCTTCTTGATAAGTTCTCTACATTTTGGACCAACCTGCGTGAAGTAATTGAAAGAGAGCGAAACGTTCTTGAGTGCTGAGAGTTCGCATACGATCTCCGGTATGGTACCGTAGAACTTGTTTCTAGCCAAGTTGAGCTGTTCCATCTTGTCTAGGCATCCGAATGAGTATGGAATCGGACCGGTTAGCTGGTTAAATTCGACATCGAAAACCGTAGCTTGGTTAAGCTTACCGATTTGGTATGGTAAGCAACCGGTTAACTTGTTATTTAAGAAAAGGACTTCTTGTAGGGACTTGATGTTACCTATGCTTTCGGGGATAGGACCCGTGAATCTGCACCACATCACATGAAAGTCCAAATTAAAGAACCTCTTTAGATAATTAATATATATACCTACCCTACTCTGTTTTGTTCTTTAAAGACAAAGCAGAGTTATTGATTTTTTTAAAATTTCCGAGGAACTAAACACAATAATGTTTTTAAGAAACAAACTCAAATAGCATCTAATTCAAGTTTTTGTTCAAAAAATAGCACACAGAGCAAAATTCTCAAAATACCATTTACTAAATGATTAGAGTTTTTCTCTTTGTCTGTTATTTGTTCAAATAAATAGCACACAAATAGTTTTATGCGCTTTAATGACTAGAGTTTAAAGTTTATTATTTAAATGATAGAATTATAGTTAGGGTTTAGGATGTAAGATAATTTTTTTTTTTTATTAATTAATAGATTTTATTTTAGGAATTTTAAAAAAAGAAAATCTAAAAAATGCTATTTATGAGATATCCTAATTTTGAAACTCTTTTTATTTCATTTTATGAAACTAAAGAAAGTGTGGAGCTTATGTCACCTGTTGTTAGCAAAAGTGAGGTAAAGAGCCGTGATGGATCCGAGATTTTCAGGCAGTCTCTGAACAAGATTGTTGTGGTTGATGAACAAGACGTCTAGGTCGAGATTAAAAACCTGAGGAGGCACAGAACCGGAGAAAGAGTTGAATCTGAGATCGAGAAACGTGAGGTTCGTTGCTTTTAAGACAGAGCTTGGAAACTCTCCGGAGAGCTGGTTGTTGCTGAGATCAAGCTCGAATAAGTACTTCAAGTTGCTGACTTCGGGGACAGAACCCACGAAATTGTTGCTGTTTGCGTGGAAGATGGTGACTTCTTCTAACTTGTTGAGAAAGTTATCTAGCCTTAGTTTCTTGCCTGCCAAGTTAAACTGGTTGAACTGGATGCTCGCGAGTGCAAGATCGTTTGTCCCCGGGAACTTTGCGCACTCGAGTCCTACGTATTTGTCCTCGGCGCAAATGTCAGTGCCTACCCAAGTTTTGAGTATCTTCTTTGGATCATGCTCGACTAGGTTTTGGAAGTTCTTGATGACTGGATACACTTTCTCTATTAGTGGACTAGAGAATTGTAGCGGCGGTGGCGGTGGAGGAGGAGGCGGAGGACACTCTTCTGTCTCTGGAGGGGGCGGTGGAGGACAGGCTTCTTGCTCCGGAGGGGGCGGGGGAGGACAGTCATTGGAGCTTTCACCGCCGCCTATGATGATTTCAAGAGCGTTTCTGTCGGTGATGTGGTTGTTTCTTGTGGCTAGAATTGAAAGAAAGTGAAGAGACAGAATCAAGAACATGAAAGAAAAGGAATGGCTATAATTTGAAGCCATTGGTGATAAATTGATAATTGATGCAAGCTGTGAGGATTGGCTTAGAGAATGATTATATAGAAAGACTGTGACCAAAAGTGAAATTGAGAAGTCAATGCAGATGTATTATTCTTGTTGGCAGCTTCATATAATTAGTAAAATCTAAATATTGAATTATTAATTGTTAGAATGGAAAAAGTATTAATGTAGTTAAAATCTCCTTATTATAATGCCAAAGGGTTGTTGCATACATGTGTAGCTTCGTTGGTGTTATCATTTTTCTTCCGTCAACGGCTATTGTAAATGATTGTCGTACGTACTAATATTAAAAAGTGCAGAATAGTAGGTTGAATGGAGCTAAGTAATTAATATGTGCAGAAACTAAATTATAAAGGTTAGGTTGAATGGAGCATAACCTGCAGTAACCAAAGTGATTTTAAAATCATGTCGATCGGTTCAACCTGAATAACCCAACCAAAACCGAAAACTCTGGTTCGTTCGTTTCGGTAGTCTATTTTTATCTTGAAACATCGTTAAATTCACTTTTCATATCTTTTCTTTTTAATATATAGCGTATATATATCTTTAAATAATAATTTCTTTTTGGGAAAATATACATTTAATTTGTAACTAGGTGATTCTCTCGTGCTCATGCACGAATATGAATATTTATAAAAGTAAAGTTTTATAATAATTGATTTATATTTAGTTTTAATTTAAAAAAAAATTATATATATAATATATAATTTATATTAATAGTAGATTTTATTATTTATATTATTCTAGTTAGGCATATAAATTTGGATATATTATTGTAGATTTGATTATTTTGTGGATCAGTAGTCGATTTAGTTATTGATTCGGTGTATTGGATAATATCTATTTTTGAATTCAATTATAATATTTTTTTATTCTAAATATAATAAATTTTTGATAAAATTTCTTATTTTAATTTAGGTTGATTATTTCGTAGATATGTAAATATATTATAGTTAAACTATGTACAACTTAATATATATTATACTTAAAATGATATAAATAATAAGCTGAAGTGTTTGATTTCATATTACAGAAATGAATATAATGATAATATTTTGAAGTCTATGCATATATAAAAAGTCTACAAAAGAACTAAATTGCAATTGTTTAATATATATATATATTTTTAATATGCTTAGAGTAATCATGTAATTTATATGTATAAAAATAAATATATTACTATTATTATTGTAAAATTATATATTCTTATTGTAGTTAAATCTTTAATTTTGGATATAATTTAGATTAGCTGAGTCATTCATGTTGTAAGTATATTGAGTTAAATATATTTTTAAATTAAAAATGAAGTATAGTTACTTTTTATTTTTAGTTAAATCAAATCAAATTATTTTTATTTATCGCTTTAAAATACATGTATTTCATAATATTTATAAAAAAAAAATATATTAGAAAATTAAGTGTAACTGATAAAATTTTTGGATGTTCATGAATATATGTATTTTTATTACTTTGAACATTAATTTTATGTTATTTAAAATATGTATCAAAGGGAATATTACTATTTTGTGACTTTCTTTTTTAATAAAATCATATTATATACATATATTTTCGTTTTTGAATTTGTTTTAAAATTTTATAAATGTTTCCTTCTTATTATATATGTTATTTGGAAAAAGTGAAAAAAAAGCTAAAAGAAAAAGTTAATAATAATCTTTAAAGGTAACAATTCATTAAAAATATCTATGTAATCAACCATCGTGAGAGTTAACGTGAACGCGACACATAGAAAATTGACTTCTCAAATAATATTATAGAGATTTTTAGTTAAATCAAATCAAATTAGTTTTATTTATCGCTTTAAAATACATGTATTTTCATAATATTTATCAAATTATATGTTGATTTTTTAAAAAAAAAATATTAGAAAATTAAGTGTAACTGTTAAATTAATATATGTATTTTTATTACTTTGAAAATTTATTTTATGTTATTTAAAATATGTATTAAAGAGAATATTACTATTTTGTGAATTTCCTTTTTAATAAAATCATATTATATACATATATTTTCGTTTTTGAATTTGAATTTGTTTTAAAATTTTATAAATGTTTCCTTTTTATTATATATGTTATTTGGAAAAAAGTTAAAAAAAAAAACTAAAAGAAAAAGTTAATAATAATCTTTAAATGTAACAATTCATTAAGAGTATATATATAATCAACCATTTCGAGAGTTAACGTGAACTCGACACGTAGAAAACTGATTTCTCAAATAATATCATAAAGATTTTATTTTAATTAATAAAATATATTGTAGAAAAAAAACTTTTCTTTGAGATAAGAACAAAGATGAATTACAACCTATCAATTCTCTTCTATTTTTTAGAAAAATCACGAAAGAGTTTGTTTCATACATTTCCATTTACACTGAATGTCCATTACGGTGAGTCTGTTTTGTGTATTGCATATACATACACTCTACATAATGACATCTGGGGTTTCTTTTTCAAAAGAACTCCCATGTGTTTTGTTCACTCACTACAAATTGGGTGTTAATTACTCCTTCTCTCATTTTATTGTTGCAATCTCCCGCATGGACTTCATGGCTATGACCGATGACAAGTTGAATTCAGATTTAAATGGTAAGGAATTTATCCTTACTGCTTTCCTTTGGAAACAATTGCCATGGAGACCACCATGGAATGAGTATATTAGAAACAAGAAATTACGATTTTCTTTGTTGTATTGCGATGTTCTTAGAATCGTTGAAGATTTGGTCATTCCAACTTTTATTTCTTTTGATAGAATCAATATATTGGATTCAATATCACTGATATCTATAGATCCAAGTTGAAAGTTGAATAATATTATAAAATAAAGAAAACAAAGAAATAAAGTTTAGAGATTCATCACAAAAGATCGATATCCAAACATGAAAATTACATTAAGAAGGTTCAGAAGAAATCTCTTTCATATTTTATGTATTGCAATGTTACATTTTATATAAACAAAATGGTTGTTAAAAAAAAGAACAAAGATGAATTGTTCTTCCAAAAGTTAATGGAGCCACGACAGGTCACAGGCCGTGACTGTTATCTTTCCTTGACCTCTTCTTGTTAGCAAGAAAAGTATATATAAAACTTTGGTTGAATCATCATTGGCTTTTTCTTTGTTGAGTTCGTCGTACTCGTACGTAGTGAATAAAAAGAAGAGAAGGAAGAGAGAATAAAAATAAAAGAGAAAAAACATGGCGTACTGGTGGGGGTCGTGGCGGGAACCGAGCATTTATGAAATGGCTGAAGCGGGGGATACGTTGCTGCACGTCGGCGATATTGAGCCGACCGTGACAGATTATGTTCTGTTCGATACGTTTTCCCAGGAAGGTCAAGTGAGTTCTGCCCGTATTTGCAGAGATACGATCACCGGGAGATCTCTTGGCTATGGCTACGTTGGCTTTCACTATTCTCGTGATGGTAACTTTTGATTTTTGTTTTTACTGTTTAGATTAGACTAAATTAGGCTTCTGCTTGGTTATAACTTTCAATTTGCTTTTAAAGGCGTTTCATATTGTAGAAATTTTAGTGACTATAAAATAAAAAGAATCAGGTTTTATAGGCTGAGCATGTTTATAGGTAGCTCTTAGTACTAGAGCTCTTAGGTTAATTTGGATTTAAATTAAATCAAAAACATGAATTAAAGTAGGAGGCGTGTCTTAAATAGGAGATGGAATAGCCTATTCCTTAGTGTCACGTGTCCAACGTTGGAGGAGAGATGAGCGGTGGTGGTCTCGGTTCCGTCTTCTCTTCTTTTCTTTCGTTCTCTCTTCCTTCTTTCTTCTCGGAGGCGATAGAATGTCGAACACAACAATACATATCTCCAAAGATCTTTTGTTTTGTTTTCAGTTTCGACATTGTTTCGCGATTTGTATCAGGTAAGAAAGCTCTTCCAAGTTGTTCCCTTTGGATTGACTTATTTTACTCTTGTTTTTTTTTTTTGAAAAACTTTATTTTACTCTTGTTCCTGTGATCAAATAGAGCTTCGCTTGTTCTGATCTGTATAATTTTTTTTAAAAAAGCACGTTTATTTTTGATGGCATGGTAAGTTCAAGCACATGAAGTTCAAGCATCACGGAGGCAAACATGGGAAGCATGGGATGTTCATTGATTATTGTATATATGACCCTTATATATATGGATTTTGACATTGATTAAACTGTTGTAGAAGGCATGGTAATGATCAAGATGAATTTTTTAAAAAATATTTTTAATTATTAAGAACTTTTATTAAAAAATCACCTATAAACCGCTACAATTAGATATATCTTAAAAAAGTCTCTTATCTCATTTTTAGGAGTTAAAAATTCACTAAGAACCCTTATATGGGGTTTACCTATAAACATGCTCTGAGGAGGCCAACTCCAACTGTAGTTTACTAATGAGGGTTCTGACCAATTAAAAACAGAAAAAATCAAAAATCAAATAATTGTGTCAGAAGAAGTTCTTGCAGTGAGCTATTAGAAAATAGGTTTTAGACTTTTTGCTACGGATGTCTATCTTTAATTGAACTATTTTTTTGTAATACAAAAATTAAAAAAAAACTCAATTATTATTAAAGTATTAATATTTTTCATCACTTAAAATTAAGGTGAGTGTTAGGGCACCTCCACTGGAGGTCTTTGTGGGATCCTTAGAAAAAAATAATATAATAATCTATATAATTAAGGATTCTTAGCCAAAATAATCTTTAAGATCCTTAATTAAGGATTGAAACATAAAGAGTCTTGTTACTGTTCACATATCCCATTGACATGTGACGATCCATGATTGGTTAAGAAATTATTTTTTTATTTGAAAAAAAAACAAAAAAAAAATAAAATCATCTTTTAAGGATTTCATTTGAGTATCACCATTGTACTTACTCTTATACCATTTGAGGTGCTCTTAGAAAAAATTAAAAAGGCTCATACATTACCTAATCCAGGTTTTATTGATCTAAAAGCCTTTAATCTTAAAAACATTTAAAGTCATTTCTTCTTCTTTTTGTTCACTAAACTATTGATTTTTTTATAACATAAAAACATATTCAGTAATATACGACTTTCAAGAATTTAGGATCTTTTTAAAGCTATATAACCAATCACAAATATTCAGTAATATATGACTTTAGAGTTACCGTTTGTATTTTTCTACTTCTGATTATCTTCTTTGGCGGACCTGTTAATAGCACAAAGAGCAATAGAGATGATGAACCGCACTGCTATTAATGGAAAAGAGATTAGAGTTATTTATCATGTCCATGATCCAAGTCTTCTTCGAAAGCGCAGTGTTGGTAGAATATTTATAAAGGTATATACATAGATAGCTCCAAGTGGAATGTGAAACTCTATAGAATAGTTTCTTTTATTTCTTGATCTTCAACCCAAAATTGTTTACAGAATCTTGAAGAGTCCATCGGCCACAACGCACTCTACGACACATTTTCGAGCTTTGGGTCCATTCTCAGATTCAAATTAGCTACTAATAATGATACTGGTCGGTCAAAAGGCTTTGGCTTTGTACAGTATGACAATGAAGAATCAGCTCTCAAGGCCATTGGTTATTTAAATGGAATGCTTCTAAACGATAAGGCAGTATACGTTGGACCGTTTCTTCAGAAAGAGTCTCCATACGATAAGGGGTTCTTCACTGATGTATATGTTAAGTATCTCTCCAAGTCATTGGCTGATGAAGAGCTTGCCAATATTTTTGGAGAGTTTGGACCGACAACGAACTGTTTGATCGTAAGGGAAGGTGAAGTTCGTCACGGAAAGTCTAGAGGCTATGGCTTTGTTAGCTTTGAACATCCAGAAGATGCTGAGAAAGCTGTTGAGGCTTTAAACGGGGAGAAGTTTGGGGACAAGGAGTGGTTTGTCACGAAATCAAAAATGACATATAAGAATGGATATAATTTCAGAAGAGGTTTGAAATATTCCATCAACATATCTAAGGGTTTGAACTACTTGTGTGTTAAGAAGCTGCATAAAAGCGTAACTGATGAAACCCTCAAAGAGTTTTTCTCTCCCTATGGAAGTATAACATCATGCAAGGTTTGTTTGTACATTCATAAAAAAATCTCGAGGATATTGTAGGTTTAACATGTGTGAAGGTGGATATAGGTCATGCGAGACTCTAGTGGAGTGAGTAGAGGATCAGGGTTTGTTGCGTTTTCGAAACCTGAGGAAGCATCTAAAGCTGTAAGACTAGATAGATCCATGCATGCATGCGCATGGACATGCATCACATTACTTGAAACAGAGAAACAAATTTAATTTTAGTGGTTTTGTTTTCAAGTATTCAGATGGAGGAGATTAATTTGAAAATGAAGATAAGAAAACAAGCTTACGTGGATCTAGCTATATCACTTGCAAATGCAACTCCTGAACAACAGAGAACCGTAAGTGAATGTTTTGTTTACCTTTATGATTATTGTCTTGTCTATTTCTTTTTGTTGTGCTGTTCTTCAAAATAAATGAAATGATTTGTACAGATGCTAGGTGAGAGTCTTTACCCAATGGTGGAACAACTTGAGCCAGAGGCAGCAGCGAAGATCACAGGAATGCTTCTCGAAATGGACCAAACCAAAGTTCTTGACTTGCTTGAATCCTTCGTTGCTCTCGAATCCAAAGTCGCAGAGTCAACTGCGATCCTGAAGAGTGTAAGAGCATGTTTATTGGGGGTGCTTAGAGAGGGTGCTTAAGGGAGTGAAATGCTTAGTTTTGAAGAGAGAGAGTGTTGAAAGTGCTTAATTAAGCACTTTCAACACTTTCTCCCTTCAAAACTAAGCACCTCACTTCTCTAAACACTCCCTTAAGCACCCTCCCAATAAACATGCTCTAAAAGAGCAGCAGCGGCAACAACAACAACAACGACAGCGACAACGACAACAACTACGACGACAACGACAACAACTACAACAGCAACAACACACAACAACAACAACAATACAAAGGTGGTCTGAATCTGCGAGTGACTCAAAATCCTCTCTAAGCCCTGACTCAAAGCCCTCTCTAAGCTCAAGTTTTATAAGCCCAAAGCTAAGGTCACTAGCGCGTGTGACAAGTCTATTATCGTCGGGTGAGAGGTCGGTCGTGTTTCTGACCAACAGATTCGATTCCTTAGAAGATGACGGGGAATGATGGATGTGGTTTCAGGAACAAATGTCAATATCTGTGGTTGATAATGCTAATCTTCTTAAATCATTTGTAGCATAATAGCAATTGCAAACATTGAATTCTATGAAATGAAATACATTTTTCTCACAAAGGTTTGCGACTATATATATGAAGTATAAACTATACCTAGTACCTACCAAATGAACAAAACAAGAGATCATGTTAAAAAAGTGATGCAGCCTAAGTTTCAATGGTATGAATATATATTTGCCAACTTGGTATTATCAAATTTAACTAAATAATTGAACATATATATGTTACATTTACTTTAGATAATGTTGATAAATATCTTCCATATATCAGATTAGTCTTAACAAATTACTAAAAGCATAACAAATAACTAGAGATTGACCCGAATGTCCATGCGTGTGTTAAATTTTATATTTTTGTAAACTGATAATTTGTTTTCCAGAATTAGTGTTATATATTTTGTGTCATTATATAATTAATTAAATATTCTTAAATTGCTATACCTCAAAATCTAACCTGAATAAAATCAAATAATATGATTACTTTTGGTTATTTATTTTTTAAATTATTTTTAGTTTGAATTCAAAATACTCTAACCGAATCGGTTAATATGATTATTTTTGTACAACTATCCAAACTTTTAGATACATTAGTTTTTCGATATTTAAGGTTTTTATACATCTAAATCGAATGCATCCGGATTTCATATTTTAGCAAGACAATAAATGAAATGAATAGAATAAATGAAATAATTATTTAGAAAAATAAACAATAAATGAAATATAATGAAAATTTGTTAAAAATCATTTAAAATAGACGATTATTGTTTTATACTTATGTTTTAATAGAATAGATGATATTTATACAAAAGCATAGTTTGATAATGTTGCCAAATCTCTTTCGCATATCAGATTTGTTTTATAAATTACCACTGAGTAAATAGTAAAAACTAGGATATGTCTGTTGTTTGAGAAAGGTCAGTGTCTTTTGGCGACAACTGTTACTATGCTCAAGGACAAGTAGGTATGTTCTTGCTTGTTCTGTGTATTGGTACTATCTTTAAATAACCCTTGTGGATTGTTTATATGGATGATCTTGCGTTTCTGATTTTGATTTGTAGATTAAAAAAATGAGAAAATTACTAGAATGATACACAAAAGCTTGTATATGACTAGAATAGTATATATTTTCTAAAAATTACTAGAATGTTTTCAGACTCCTAGTAAATTACAATAAACACCCTTGTTTAATTTTGTTACAATTGATATAAATTTTAATTATTAAATCCACATCATAATTTGACAATCCACGTCACTAACTAATTTGTGT